CTGCTGCCCCTGCTGCTGCCCCTGCTGCTGCCCCTGCTGCTGCCCCTGCTGCTGCCCCTGCTGCGGCCCCTGCTGCTGCTGCTGCTGCTGCTGCTGCTGCTGCTGCACCCCGCCCCGCCCATGCTGCTGGATTGCCTGTCCAGGCAGTGGCTGTTGCTGCTGCGCCGGTCCCCAGGCTGCCGCAGCCGCCTCGTCATAGGTCTGTTGGGCGCCACGTCTCTGCTCGCGATGGTCTGCCGGCTGCGACCAATGAGCCACCAGCTTCTCCCTGGCTTCCTCCAATGCATGCACGCGGCCGCCCAGAACCCTTATGTTGTGTGGCTGCAGCAGCAGCAGGCCGCGTCGGACGAAGGCGGAGCTGATGACGACCTGTTGGACGTTGAAGCATGTGACAGCACACATGAGAGGAAAGCAGAGCCATTCAGTGGCCTGGAGTCGCGTGGCACTCCCGCAGCACCTGCTGCCGTTTCTCGCATTCTGTGATGCGCCGGGGCGTGCGAAGTGGCGCGCAGCATGTTTGGCCCACTGTGAATTGCAATGCCACCGCTACAGCAAGCGGCAGGCAGGTACACAGCAGTGTGCCGCACCTTCGTTCCCGCAGGAAGGTGAACCTGAAGGTCTGGGATAGGCGCGTGCTCGATTGCCACGATCGCTTGCCGCCCGTCCGTCAGCCGCAGCTTGAGGCAGCGGTCGCCGGGGCGCGCCGCATTGTACCTGAGGAGCAACGGTCAGGCACGAGGAGCGAGAGACGCTCTGCCAGCTCGCCGAATTGATGACTGCACAAACACGTGGCGGCCCCTGTGCAACATCTGCCAGGACCACTGCTGAGGCGCTGCAATTGGTGCAACTGCACGTCAACTCAGCAGGGCGCCCATGGCGCTCACCGTTCCTTCCATGCAGCTGCGATGTTGACTACCTCGTCCACTTGCAGCAGGAACCGCCCCTCAACCGGCTGCTTGTGCATTTGCGCTATGTTGGGCAGCACACCGCCGGCGCCTGCGCGATGCAAGTCGGCCGCAAGTAGCTGCTCCAGAACGAGCTGCAGCTGCTCCTGAGAACCCATGGAGCTTAAACCTGGTACTTCTCTGCTAAGGTGCGCCAGGCATGCCTCGAGCCAGGAGTGATCAGGCGCGAATCCAAACTCACTGCGCAACATACCCTCCACAGCATGCTCCATATCCTCGTCATATGGATAAGATTTACATATACATTAGACACATGATGCCCTTCTTGCACATCTTGCTAGTTGTGATGTTTGCAGTGTCCTTTGTTGCACAGGCAGTCGCTGCGCAGCCAGTGTAGACAACCACAGCCAGCTTTCATGAACAGTATAGCTTGTGCTAGTATGATCGCTGCTATCATCTGCCACAGGTCGGGGCCAAAGGCGACACAGACGCCGCGGAAGGGTCGTGGCTGTGCGACAGTGCCGCGTGGGCCAGGAAACAGCCAGTGGTGCCTCCTGTTTTGTCTGTACCAATCGGCACAGCGAACCAAGCCGTCCATTCAAGCGCGCTCTTCGTGTTGCGGTCGGACGCGGTGGCGCTCGCTGACATCTCTATCGACGCGCTTTCGAACGCGACGGCAGGTGCTGCAGGCCTTCGGGCGAGGGCGGCTGAGTTTGAGGCGGTTGCAATCAACACTTGCACCGCATACATTGAGCCGGCCATCGCCGTCTGTTACAGGTGAGATTGAGTACGTGTTCCTCATTTGGCAGCTCGTGCTCTCTGTCCCTTCGGTCCCATCTCGATTTTCAGCCGGCCAGCACGCTGTGCTATTGGTGCAAGAAACGCATGAAAACCGCCAGGCGCCAATCCTTCAACCATCCGCTGCATGGAGTGGTTGTTGTGCATGCAGCATCCCAGCTGATTGCTGAGATTGCAAAGGACATGCACCCCTGAGCCCTAGTGAGCCCCTTTCTGCAGGCGCCGCTGCTGCATCCAATTGGCTGCTGTGAACACAGCTGGGTGACTCGGCCCAAACACAAGGTGGCTTACTCAACCATGTTCAAGTGTGAGCAGAAGTGCGGCTTATGATATGTAGGCATACACGCAACTTTACGCTTTGTGTACGACCGCATTTGTGCTTTGCTCTGACACTCAGACTACATTCTGCTTGTTCCGGACGTCTCGGACGCTCTGTAGGTACCTGCACGTGCTTGTCGCGTGATATGCAGCTGTAGAATTGAGGTTTTCATTCTTCTCATCTTGCGACGCAGGCAGTTTTGTCGACCTGTGTGTCCGGGCACGGTGCACACCGTCCTCGCTCGTGTCGAACAATGGCCGGCGTGGGGCCCGCCTGTTTATGCTACGTCGTGGTTGTTTTAATGGCCTTCATAGGCCTCGGGTGAGTGCGTTACACGCCTCCAAACCCATCGTCATGGGCCATTTCACTGTTCCTGCACTGTGCGAACTCCGCTGGGAAATGGGCAGGCCACAGCTGTTCGAATGGAAGTGAAGGTCCCAGCCGACCGCTCGTCTCCATCACTTCGACACACACACACCACCACGACAACCACTACAGCAGAGGGGAGTGCTCCGCGGGTTGGGGGGGCAATTGTACGGAGATGGGAAGGGGAGGCGAGACAGGAGGGGTGAACACGGGGGGCTAGCGGACGGACGCAACAGGAACCCTTGCCGCGCACGGCGCCGTCACGCACACGCGACCTTGCTGGTGCCTCACCTGTGGCGGGCACACCCCCCTTCTTTCCCAACACGGCCCTTGACTTGCAGATTCGGCCCGCACCGTCCCGGGGACGTGACGACGGGCGCCTCTGACGCGGGACGGCTGGCTAAGGGACCTGAGGACATCTTCCTGGGCCATACACCACCTACCGAATAAGCCCTTGTTGTTTTGTTCTTCCTCTTTTTGGCCGCCAAGCGCGCCCCTCATGCCTTGGTCACGGTTTGCATCCACTTGGGACAT